AGAAAAGCATCAGTTTTATATCTGGTTGGAATCATAACATTAGTGTCGTGTTAGGACTTGATTTTAATAGTTGTTTCGCTGGCTGTTTTAAGTGTTTTTATCCAATATTAAGACGAATAATAATCGCCAAAGTATGTATTTTAAGATGTATATTTCATTAAATTAATAATAGTCAATGAGGGGATTTTATATAAAAAAATCGCAAACCAAAGGGATTTTTACACTTTATTTTAAATAAGTAGAACTTTAAAACTTCTGCATCTTTTTTCGTATGTCTTTCTACGTTTTAATTTCATTTTTTCCGGATTTTTGAAGGTTTTATAATTATGTCTAACACACATTTATTTGCGGAAGCGCGCGGATTTTGATGTATAACCATTTTTTTCTTTCACAGGGCGATGGCTCGTAGTCAGCAAGAGTGAACTTTTTGATAAACTAAGAGAAAAAGATAAAATGATAAGCGGGTCATTCGAAGTGAAAAATATTATCGTAGACTACATTAAAAAAAGTTTAATTTAACAAATCCCAGTCGAGTTAGTGGAAAATGAGTTATGTCGAATTACTTCTTCTTTTTCCGTTGGTCTAACTTGTAAGTCAAAGATGGAAGAAACGTAATCGAAATATCAAACATTTTTCAACCAAAAATCGTTTATAGCTCAATGATTAGATAAATATCGAAAATGTCGATTTGCCACAAAATCGTGTAAGCTATAAAACACCACAAAAACAAATAATGGGACGTCCCAAAAAGAATTTTGGGACGTCCCATCCAGCCAAATTAACGATCTACGTAACATTAATGGCCAAGCAGTCTTCGTATCCTGAACACTGGGAGTTCAGGATACGAAAATTGTGGGTTCGTGCCTTGCTCGGACGGGGCTGGCCACGTGGAGTTTTCCAGGTTTTCTCAACGTCTGCAACGCCTAAATAGGGGCCAGTTCTCCTTAAAAAGACCTCCCGGAAGGCATCCCCCTAGGCAGATCGCCCAAGTGTTGCGTTGCCATGACTTAACAAAACAAACAAACAAACGTAACATTGAATGAGGCAATGTAATGAAAGAACTTTTTCATTTGGTCTATCGACTCTTCATTGTCAAATAAGATTCATATATTCTTTACATAGCGTATGGAATGGATATTAAAAAATGCCAAGTGCGCAAGACAGAAGAGAAAAAGTCAGTATCAACAAAAAAGAAAAAATATTATTGATAGATTTAGAACCAAAACTGGTTTACTTCTGGATACTCCCAAGCAAGGTGGTAGAAACACAAACGACGGTAATTCGGCAAGATTTTCGAATGCCGCTCTTATTGCAGAGATAACCGGTGTTAACAAGAACCTGATAGAACGATTTTCGGTTATATTATAAGCATTGGCATCCGGCTACGAAATTGATACAATCAAATTCGAAATCTACACGAAGGAAACAGCGGAGTATACGTGACGCTTTATCATTGGTAACTCATGCCAGTCACTCTTCACAAAGTTTTAATACGCGGATCAAAAATTCGTTTCTCGTTTCAATAGAACAATTGTCCAAAAAAGTGCAAGAAGCTAGACACAAGGAATTTTAAAAATTTCGTGAGAGTTATTCCCGAAAAACTTCTAGAATAAACACTAATATTTTACATAATCTTTTAATTTCTTCACATCCTCTTATTACAAGCCTTAGATCACATGGTATAAAGAAACAACTCCGATAACAGCTAACGTTTTAAAATTATTAAAGTACCGAGCGTGACCTTAGTACAAGAGAAATCCGAGTCAAACTTCGAATGTGACTTTGATATGTAAATTTTTAGTTGATACGATATCTAAGTAAAAAATTTTNTTGAACAACTTAGTAATTATAGTAAGTATTTCAATTCTTATATAATATATACGATTTAAATATCATGTCCAAAGAAATGCTACTAAAACACTAAGAATTTAGAATGATTTTTAACTGATGGTGATTCTATTGACATAAATGGGGTAGAATTAGCAGAGGAAATTTCAGCAGTATCTGTGCTTTTAGGCAAGAAAAAAAGCCTAAGCAATGTACTGAGCTTAATTACAAAGTTAAATTTTGCCCCAAATTTTATTATAGCTTTAAGAATATTGCTAACTATACCAATAACTGTAGCAAGTGGCGAAAAGAGTTTCTCTAAGTTAAAATTAATTAAGAACTTTTTACATTCGACTACTACACAAAATCGTCTTAATGATTTGCCACGTTGGCAATTAAGCATGAAATCGCTGATCGAGTAAATTTAAAAGATGCAATAAAAAAGTTTGCAAAACTGAAAGTAAGAAAAAAAAGTCTTTTGTGATTTTAGCGGAGTTGATATTACCTTGTTTTATTTTCAAAATAATGGCATAATGATTGTTTGTGCAATAATACATTTTTAATAGCCTTTAAAAATGTAAAAAATTATATGGTTAACAATTTGTGCCTAGGTACAGATATTTCTTAATTAATTTCTACGTTTTGTATTGCTTGCTTATCAATGTTATATGTTTCTTTCTAAATATATGCTTTTATTAAAATTTAAATAAAATCATTCGATTTTTATTCAAAATAAAAATTATGTACCTTTATTTTAAAATTTATATATAGGCCCTGTATATTCTTAAGGGGCGGCAATTTGTCTTTTTGTCCGGGGCGACGTAACCGCTAGAGCGGGCCCTGCTCAGGATTTTTCAATAAACGTAACCATACTTGTTTAATATAGCATATCGCAAGTTAGTATTCATCATGGACATCTCGCAACAAAAAAGGAACCGTAAGATAATTTAAACAAAGCATATCAAAACATTATAATTTTGCCTTTGGTAGTAAAGATGAAAATGCAACTACAATAGAGCATCGATTATCTGACCCCCGATTAACCAACCGCGTTCTAGTCGGCAAATTCAAAAGTCTGCTAGTGATGTAGCGCTACAATATTTGGCTATGTCTAGGCTACTTTAATATTATTTTTGTTAAATTTTTGCGTGTTTTAGCTGGCTACACTGGCTCGACCATGAAAGGGAGGCCAGTATGTATACGAGGCTTAATTTTTTAATTATGAATGGTTGTGTTAAGATTAATCATATTCGTTTTATAAGCCGCACTTAAGTTAAGCGTCATCTGTTCATTTTTTATGTCTGGTCATTAAAAGACCTCTATGGATCGAGTGTCAGTTGTATATGGAAAAGGTAAATTGTTTACAAACTGAGTCTTTGTCTATTCTCTGATAAATGTACACTTTTATTTCATCAATTGTTCACGATAGCAGATGTCTTGTGTGTAAGATCCAAGTCGGATGTGCGCAAGCTAATAAATGTTGTTCTTAATCGCTTCCTCTCCGATCAATTTTTAATTACATTATAATTAAACATAAAAAATATTTAAAACTGAAAAAAACCGAAAGAAATGCGTTATTTTTCAAGCTTCAAACTTTATTTTCCATTGTCTCGCCTTTCTGGGAAAGTTGATACTGATGAGTCATTGTGTTTACAGCTGGATGACCTTGAGAACAGCTGGTGTTGAATTTCCCGGGACATTCTCATAAATCTTACAGGAGGCGAACGGTTTATAGTAGGGTGAATACTAGCTAGCTGTATATTTTTAAATATTTTTCAATGTACAGTACAGTACTGTATTTATTTTGTGCAAAATAAAGAAATAATTTTATAATTTTTAACGATGCAATAGCGACAATTATTATTTTTAAAAAAAATTTGATAGGCTTAACATGGAGAAAAATTCAACGCGAAGTAAGTTAATAGGGATATATTAATATACTAATTACATGGAATATAATAATATACTACACTAATAATGGAATTTTTCATACTTTTCGGTTATCCGACTTTTCAATTATCTGACCACACCAGTTCCCAATTAAGTCGGATAATCAATGCTCTACTGTATTCATATTCTTAGCACAAGAATCACGTTATTAGCAATGTTCCCTCTAGGCTGCGCAGCTGCGCACTGCTCAAATTGTTGCCGCGCACGAGAATTTATGTGCCGCACAGGCGAGCATAAACACCGATTTAAATTGTTGTTTACTTATTTTTCACTCTGTCTGCAACATGATTATTGCTGCGTATATTTCGATTAAATACATTAAATCATTGACAAAAGTTAATATTTCGTATAAAAGTATGTTTTAAAATGAATTTTAATCTCTACTTTATAATTAATTATTTTAATTTTTATAAGAAAAAGTAAGATTTTATATGTATGTAAACAGAAAAATCTCTCTTTCAATTTAAAAAAGACTTTATCCGTGTGTTGCGCTGTCATCGACATGAGACGTAAGAAGAACAATATGGCGTAATCGATACATTATGGCAAAGCGGGAAAAGATAAATAATAAAAAGGAATTGATATAGTGAAGAATAAACTTTAAATGTCGTTTCTTTGTTTACAGGTGAGAGTGTCGATTACATTGACCACGTGGTCGTGTCAGCCACTCGGTGGGAGCTAGCTGTTTGGCTATTCGCGACGGTTGATTTCGTTTGTACCGAACTCTTGTAATTGTAACAGCAACTCTACTGTGTAAACTTGTGATCTTGTGGACAGTTCCCTGCCCTATGACTACCTAATGGATCTGGGCCATCTTTGTGGTGAGTTGGTTTTCTGATCTACTTTTGGTTGTGGGGGACCCGTTATCCAGCAGACGGGCCTCCCTGACAGCCCATCCACCTTCCAATGTTGGCAGTGGTGTGATTGGAAGCAGCTAGGACAGTGTCCCCACTGGCCGAGCTAGCTTGGCCGTTCATCAGTTGATCATCAGTTGGCCAGCAGCCATACAGGCAGCTGCCTTAGAAACTTCTGGCGTCCACTGTGGTGGCATACTAGTGTATCAGACAGAGGAACTACTGACTCTAGTGCGTCAGCTGTACATCTGTACATTGTATTAGTACTAGTGCACCGTCTGCTTGCTCAATAGTGCAGAGATCCCTCTTGGCAATCCAGTCACCCAGTACAACTCTTCGCTACATTCTTACACATCTGCTCTCTCCAGCATGGCTCAAAAGGCCATCTGTGATATTTTGGACAATTCCTATTCAATTCTTGATGAAGTCAAAGACTACTGTGTCAGTAACCTTAAGGGTCGCCAGAACGGCAGAAAACACATTAAATATTTCACCAAACAAATTGCTAAAGTCATCACCATGGCTAAAGCCACTTTACGCGAACACACATTTTCCAAGGTAATGGAAGAAAAACTGGCTCTCTTGCTCACCAGGGAAGACCTACTCCAAATCGTATCCTCTGAAGCAGAAAAAACCAAGAAGATTCTAGCAGATCTCAAACAGGCAAAAGAGCAACGTGAGGCTGCTCCCAACCATTCGTACAGCACCATCCTAAAATCCAGCCTTACCATTAATCCCTCCCAAAGAAATAAAACAACTAAACAAAATAAAGATGACCTTCTGATAAATCAAAAGAACAAAGATAAGAGCAGCGACAACACCCGAAAAATCATCCAGCGAAAAATACAACCATCCAAACTGGGAATTGGGGTTCAGCGCATGAGGCATATAGGCTCCGGAGAGATAGCCATAGACTTGGACAACAAACAAGATATCGAAAAACTTGAGAAAACAATAGAAGAAAATATTCCAGAATTACACACAGGAAGGCCCAGAAAAAGGTACCCACACATCATCATCTACTCCGTGAACAGACACATAGACCGCAATGATCTATCCAACATGATTTATGAGCAAAACAGTGTAATAAATTACAACTACGGCGCTGAAGAACTTAGTGAACACTTCAAGATTAAGTTCAATGTTGGAAACCGTGAGGGTCAATACTGTAACTGGGTTGTGGAGGTGACTCCAAAACTGAGACAGCAACTTCTTGTCGCAGAAAAACCAAACGTAGAATGGTCACGCTGCAGAGTGGCCGACTTTGTTCCTATTCTACAATGTTATAAATGCTGCAGATACGGGCGCTCAACAAAGAGCTGTGCACACGAAACACCCATCTGTAGCCACTGTGCCGAAGAACACACATACAGAGAGTGTCCAAACCGAAATAATACCCCAAAATGCATAAATTTTCATTATGAAAAAGCTAACAAAACCTCAGATAACGCATGGGATGGTTCCTGTCCTGTTTTCCAGCATGTCAAAAATAACATCATCGACTGCACTTATTATGGGTCCTAAAGAAAACAATTACGTTCGTTGTCTGCAGATTAATTTGGGAAGAGGCATTTCCGCCACCTCCCTTCTTGCCACCAAATGCTATAAGTATGACTTGATCTTCATACAGGAACCATAATGTCTGAGAAATAAAACTGCTTGTCTACGAACTCATTGCACCGTGCTCAGAGGGACTAATGATTACCCCTGGGCTATCACCATCATGACTAATCCCAACCTCTCTGTCCTCCACCATAGGAACTTATCTAATGATAATATTGTTTGTACTGAGCTCATCCATAACAACAACCGCTACATATTTGTCAACATCTACTATCCTCATGAAGCTAGTGTGGAACTGACCACAAAGAACATTCAAAGTGTCATGGACAACTTTAGAAATGACAAAATTATACTACTTGGTGACATCAATGCGCACTCTTCCACCTGGGGTGATGATAAATATGACCATCGCGGTCATGTCTTCGAAGAACTCTTTGCTCACAACCAATTCCGGCTACTCAACAACTCTCTCTCACCTCCTACCAACACTTCAACACAAGGAGAATCCTGGATTGATGTGACTGCCTGTAGTTTAGACTGCTTCACCGATTTTAACAACTGGATGGTGCTTGGCGACTGCAGTCTCAGCGATCATGCATACATCTCTTTTACTCTCTGCAACAATAACCTGCACTACTGGCTCTCCTGCCCTTCCCAACATCAATTACAACTTAGCTCTTGCTGACTGGGTTGGGATGCAGAACTTTCTTCACTCCAATCTCACTGACTGCAATCAAAATGACAAGGACAGTGCAAGTAAAACACTTGACCATAATATCAACACAATCCAACATGCATGTGAGCTGTTTATTCCAAGAACCATTCCGAAGCATTGTTCTATTCCCTGGTAAACTAACAAGCTCACCGATCTTCCCAAAATTAACAACAGACTTAGGAGCAACTACCAAAAGTGCAGACGTGAACCTGACCGTACCAACTTGAAACACCTCTATCTCGACCATCAGGTTATTTACAAAAAAGAAATCAAAGATGCAAAAATTCGTTCTTGGAGGTAGTTCTGTACTGTGGCTTCCTCTAACCCCTGGAGTTACATAACTAAACTCTGCACAAACAAGCTCAAGAAGACACAAATCCTCGTTAATAAAGACACATCGTCCATTGGCAGCAGCTTTTTCGATATCATTGATAAGCAAATAAGCTCTTTTTGCATTGAGGAAAGCACGGATGATGACACCACTTGGCATCAAACTATACAGGAAGACATCAACATCCCCATTCATACCAACAATTCCCCAGACTTCTGTCATGATGAGATCAACAATGCCTTTACAAACCTAAAGGATAACAAAGCTCCTGGTTTCGATAACATTAACAGCAGGATGGCCAAAGCTATCTGAAAGTTTAAACCTAGTCATATAATAAACATGTATAATAGCTGCTTACATAATAGGATTTTCCCAAATAAATGGAAGGTTGCAAAAATTATACCAATTCCAAAACCTGGAAGGCCCGACAACATCAGGCCAATCTCCCAGTTGCCTGTTTTCGGTAAAATTTTGGAGTGCCTGTTAACTGATCGTCTGATCTGGCATATTGAAACTGGGAACATCCTTAGTGAAACCCAATTTGGCTTCCACCAACAGTGCTCCTCCTCTGACGCCATTCACTATGCCGTCAATAAAATCAATAGCCTCCTCAGTACGCACAAGTACGTGCTTGCCACCAGCCTTGATATCACTAAGGCTTTTGACTTCGCCTGCTGGCCACTTATCCTGTACCGCCTCAAACATATTGATTGCCAGCCAATCTACATCAACTTTTCAAGGACTACCTCAACGACCGGAAGGCTCTACTAAAATATGGCTCACATCATATGGAAAGAAATATTGCCCGAGGATGCCCTCAGGGGTCGGTCTGCACACCACCCCTATGGAATCTTGCCTTCAACTCTTTTCTTCAAGAAGACTTTGGACACGACGGCATCATAGCATATGCGGATGATGTCTTGATACTGATTGGCGGTAATTCCTGTGCTAAACTTGAGAGCAGAGGCAATGATACGCTTAGCCGTGTTCACCACTGGGGCATCAGGCACAAACTCAATTTAACCCTGGCAAAACTACTTGCATTGTTTTTAATCGACCCAGACAACCGAAACTGTACCATCACACACCGACAATTTGCATGGATAATCACTCCATCAAAGTTGAAAGGGCAATCAAATACCTTGGCGTCTGGTTGGACCACCGCCTTAGTTGGGACAATCATATAAAATATATTACCAACAGTACCAACCTCATCTTTCAGGCTTTCTCCCAGGTTGCCCGCAAGAAGTGGGGTCTTAATTCCGAGGCAGTTGGTATCATTTATGACCACATCTTCACACCAATCATCACGTATGGATGCGGCAGTTAGGGCTGGGCTGCCAGAAAGGTTCACTCCTGCAGAAAACTAATTTCATCCCAGCGCAAGGCCTTAATCCTCATGTTTGGGGCCTATAGAACAACCCCAGACAGTAGTCTTTATACCATAACCCGCAAGCCACCCATCACCGACGTTATTCGTGTCAGGTACGAGCTTTGAAAGCTAAAGACTGGCCAAGACATCTGTACAGTCACCTGCAACATTCCCGCTGCCAACTTCAAGAAAACGAATCCCGTCACTGATCTCACTCCTCCTTACATCAACAACCATATTAACACCAGTTCGCCCAATTCTCAGACATGGAAATCTATACGGATGGCTCTGGCTTGGATGGAAACATCGGGTGCACCTTTGTTGTGATGCAAAACAGTGAGATCCATCAGCAGGGTTACAGACTAAGCAACTTCCGCAGTGTTTTTCAGGCCAAGCTTGAGGCCGTTAACATGGCTGTTGGCTGGTCTGAACAGCACTTAACTCATACGCAGATTGCAATCTTCACAGACTGCCAGTCTGCCATCAACCTTATCAATAGCAGACAGCTCCACCCCATTTCAACTGCTATCAAAAAACTTACACTCAACTCCTCCAATAGCTACAGCATTACCTGGGTCCGCAGTCATCATGGTACTACTGGTAACGAGAGAGCTGACCAGCTGGCAAAGACAGCTGCCAACAATGACACGCTAGACTCCATCTATAATAAAATCAGCCTGAATAAAGTTAAGACTTCTATACAATGACACTCCACCACTGGCAGGACTCTTGGCATGAAAATCATAGCAGTCATATCTACAACTTTATCCCCAACATCCATGAGTACCAGAACTACACCTGGATTGTTAACAATTCTCTTCTCGTGCAATTTATCACCGGCCATGGGAAATTCTCCAGTTACCTACATAGGTTCACAGGGAAGCAGTCCCCCCTCTGTGCCATCTGCAAGACGGCGGATGGCCCAGACCACTACATCTACAATTGCATCTGTCTAGCTAAGGAAAGACTTGCTATCGAACTTACGGCACATAGCCTTGATATCTCCTGGCCATGTCAACAGACAGAACTCTTCAAGCACAAGGAACTATATGCAGCCTTCCTCAACCTCGTGCAAGCCTATGAGCTCATAGCTCCCACCACCACCAGTGAATAGTTCTTAAGCGGCTCCGTCCTATTCCAGTGCCTCCGCCTCATTGTATATATTGTACATATGTCAGTGCTGAGAAAGATAAGGGCCTCACACAGAGGTATAGCCCATGTTTAGACTAGAAAAGGAGGAAGAGTTGAGAGTGTAAGAAGGGGTAAGAGTAATAAGAAGTAAAGTGAGGCAAAATTGAGAGAAAAAGTAACCAGGGTCATGGGAGCTGTGGGCGCCTGCATTGCATTTATTAAATAATAACACAGTGCAAAATAACAATAGAATTATTACAGAATTACATACATAGAAATATAATTACAAGATTGGTAGGTGCGACAATAGTAATTTGGAGTATACAAAAATACACGTGGGACAGAGACATATACTGTGTAAATAGTATATGTCTCTGTCCCACGTGTATAAACAGCAGGAGTTGACCGACAATGTCAGATGTAATCGCGGGTTACAAAACAGCTGAAAATATAAGGACAATAAACACAGAGAATACAATAAGTGGAGACAAGTAGACACAAAAGTGTATCTATAAAAGGTAGCTAAGTCCAATTAAGCCGATACCAAAAGATGCAAGATGATAAACACAGTTCCATAGGTAGTTGAAAGTCCATCACCAACTATAGGGAAGATACAATCTAGTCAAGCTTCTTGATATCAGCTGCAAATTTGTTCAGGGTCTTGAAATTGTTCTTATCAATAGTAAAGTCTTTGAGAGTGAAAGGCCAGTTCAGCCCATTTGCCTGAACAGTCTCTGCCAGTTTCTTATGATGAGTAATGTGGAGGGGGCAGTGGAAGATATCGTGCACAGGCTCTTCCTCTTTCTTCAGGTTGCAGTTACACTGACCGTCAGTCTTATTGAGAAACCTCTTGAGGTAGGAGTCTAAATTCCCGTGACCTGTAAGGAGTTGAGTAAGCTGGAAGGTGGTGTAGCGTGGGTCGTGCATACTCTTGGTGGGGGATGGGAAAAAGCTATGGGTGAGCCTTCCCGTGTCCCCATTGTCCCAGCGGGACTGCCACAGCTTGAGGATAATCTTGTGTATCTTATTCCTGACGTAGTTTTTCTGATGCCAGTATAAGAAGTGGTGGAGGCCAAAGTACGTGCTTTCCGAGCAAGAAGATCAGTCCGCTCGTTTCCCATGATCCCTGAATGACCCTTAATCCAATGAAAGTCCACCCTGATGTTAAGAGCCGTAAGTTCTTGAAGCTTGCAGATGCTGTCATTAACAATGGGAAAGGTAAAGTTAAGTTTGATGATCTGTTGGATTGCTATCCTGCTGTCACTAAATATTCCGTAGCTGTGATTCTTCCAGTTGTGTTGATTAGATAGAATCCAATCTATGGCAAGGTAGATGGCAAGAGACTCCGCCTGATTGTTGGTACAGTGCGGAGCTAATTTCCTGCATGCCTGATATAGGCACTGCTGGTCCTTGTAGATTACGACCGCACAGCCCACCCCCTCAGGAGCCTTGGACCCGTCAGTATAAATATGGATGTTGTGGTTCTCATTGTAGCTGTTGTCGAGGCTGTAAGATGGGACAAAACTGGGGTGGATGGGGTAGTAGTCATAATGCTTGTCAAAACCATTGGAGATGAGAAGCTCCGCAAGAGATTTGATATCCTCACAGTGCTTCTCTTTTGCTATTATGTTGTTAAAATGCTCAAGGCTGGTCTCTTTCTTGGCCACTTTGTCGAGATTATATTTTAAGAAACTTTCTTTGACCTTTAGGTCAATGGGCAAAGTCCGGTTAATTACAAGAAGGGCCTCAGTGGGGACCGTCTTGTATGTTTTGGCAGCATTGATACCTAACAGCCTTTGGATTGACAGGAGCTTCCTACTAATATGTACTCTGGTGGCCGCTGAGCCCCAAATTTCTGCTCTGTATGTAATGATAGGCTCAATTGCTGCTATATAGAGAGTCCTGCTTGTTGAAGGTCCGTAACCCCACCGGTTCCTGCAAATAGTTTTTAGGGCCTGGGCTTTTTTTGTTGCTTTCTCATAGACATAGTGAACATGGTCTGTCCAGTTCAGTTTCTGGTCCATAACTATGCCCAAATATTTAACAGCTGTGTGATTCTTTATCTTGATGTTGTTGATCTTAATGCTAGGACCTTTCTTAAGGATGTTCCCTTTCGGGAAAACAATCACTTCACATTTTTTATAATTAATTATTAGCTTAGTTTTTTCACACCAGTTAGATATGAGCTTCAGTGTATTGTTTATCCTTTCCTGGAGGACTTCATTGTTCACATGGCTGAGCAATAGAACCGTATCATCAGCATACCCCTGTATGTGAGCCTCGTATTCCTTGAGGATGCTGTTTTGGAGTTTTAGTAAGTCGTTATAAATAACATTCCTGAGATATGGTCCAGATTTTGATCCCTGGGGGCAGCCTCTGTAAATATTCTGTTGAAGGTAGGTGTTATTACCAGTATCCACCTAGATACTGTGGTCCTGTAAATAACTATTAGTTAACCTATATAAGTTGCCAGGGCACTTGTTGTTCTTGAGGTTGGTAAGAATGGCTGGCCACCATGTGTGATCAAAGGCCCCTTTAAAGTCTATTGTAATCATGAGGCTGTGTTTGCCTTCTTCACGGGCTTTTGTACTCTGGGTCTTTAAGTTGTCAATGGCTGCGATGGTGTTTTTGCATTTCCTGAAACCATACTTCTTCTTGTCCATTATAGCATTATTTTCATAGTGATAAATGATCCTGTTTATTAGAAGAGCATCTAGGACCTTACCAATTACAGACAAAAGAGAGATCGTTCTAAAGTCTGAGGCAGTAGTGGGAGTCAGGTCTTTGTTTTTCGGGATCAACTTGATTGTGGCCTGTTTCCAGGCAGCAGGAAAGTAATTAATATGTAGGCACCTGTTCAACAAAATACAGAAGGTGGTGGGGATTGCTTGAAAAGCAATCTTGGCCATTTTAGCAGTGATCTTATCTGGGCCTGGAGCTTTTTTCAACTTCAATTTATGAAATTCTTTAGCAATTTCCAGGGAGGTAAACGGGATGTCGTTGGTCTCATTATAGCTGTTTAGAAGACTCTCCCTTATCTCTTTGTGGTAGTGCTTGTCAGTAGAAATAGAGTCAGAAGGAAAAGGTTCATTGATTATGTGCTGGTAGGTCTCAGTGATAGACTGGGTGTAGTCAGTGTTGTTGATCTGAATGGATGGAGTAACTTCAAGCCTTTTCCCTTTCTTCGCAGCCACATAAAAGGGAGTGGACCAAGGGTTGTCATTACCCACAGTTGTGCAGAACTGTCTCCAGGCCTGCGACCTAGCCTTGTTAATAGAGGTCTTGTACTCCCTGAGAAGGGTTGTGTACCTTATACGTAACTCTTGTTTTCTGCCTGGGTCTGTTTCCTTTCGCAGCTTCTTTTTAGTTTTCCTGAGGGTATTCCGTTGGTTGTTAAGGTCCATGTTCCACCACGGGGCGGAACGCTTGACAGTCTTAACTACCATTGCTTGGTGGTAAGCCTTGTGGATGGTGTTAGTTAGACTGTTCACAACACTGTCGACTTCAGAAGGTAGAGTAATGTGAGCGATGTCACTGGGATTCCAGTTAAGTTGAACAAGTTGGAAGTAGAGGTCCCAGTTGGTGCTCTGTGTTATGCAGAATTTCGGTATTGGAGTAGACTGATCAATTATTGTCTCAATGAAGCTATGATCACTGGTGGAGTGGATACTAAGGGTATTACATCTGGAGAGCTTGTTGGTAAGTTTTCTTGAGCCCAGACAGATGTTGATCCAACTTTTTCCGTTCGTAGAGGAGAAAGTCAGGAGAGGACTAGTGTTGAGGGAGGCCAGATGGTGTTGCGCCATAAACTCCTTGACCAAATACCCTCTCGGGTCCTCCACAGGGCTGTGCCAAGTATGAGACTTGGCATTGAAGTCGCCACAGATTAGTCGGGTGGTACTGAAGCTGTTGAATTGAAGTGGCTAAGAAATCCAGAGGATAAAGTCTTCTGAAAGAGAACAGTAGAATGACACAAGAATGTAGGTAGAGTTATCTAAGGTAAGGCTGACGGTGGTGAAATAATAGTTGCTGTGTTGAGTAAGGAGTTGGACGTCAAGTTTATCATTTATGATCACAAATCCAGTCTTGGGAGGATTGTTGGGTTCTTGATAATAAATTGTCCGTGAGCTACCAAACATTGCAATTTTATTCTGAAAGATATACGGCTCCTGGATGGCCATGATGTCAGTTTTCCTGTTGGTGGATTGTTGAAAAGCATCAGTGGCGGCTCCCTTACATTTCTGAAGGTTTATCTGGATTAACCTCAAATTGTTTTATTTCTGGTTATACCCCATAATTGGTTTGGCATATTGTTTGAGCCATCATTCTTTCAGTAATTGGGCACTGTGGGTTAAATGCATTATGACAGGTGTCATGTCTACTATATTCTGGGAGTTCCTTGTTTAGGGTTTTGCAGTTGATGCAGCAAGGATCGTCGTCCAGTTTCCGGCATTCTCTAAACCTGTGCGCCTTTCCACAATGGCTACACCTTTGCTTGTTTGGACAGGTTGTGGATAAGTGGTTATAACCACAACACTGATAACAACGGACCAATGGGATGTAGTCATTTACATAG